ACACATATGGCATGCACTACCAGGAGGACAAACAGAGACCGATTATGTTAAGTGTTGCGAACCAAGTACCGACTAGTATTTCCGGAACGCGTGTTTTTATGATACCATGCGCATCCAAGGTAAAAGTATACATCACATAGCGGAAATATTGGCGCCAATACGAACTGCTGCTCAAAAAAGCTAAACAATTAAGCGACCAAACACCGCTGCGGAAAATCCGTCCTTAAACGATTTTGAATTTTTATACTTAGGTAGATTTGTACAGGAGCTTTTCCCCTTGTACTTAAATACAGTCTCAGTCTCGGATGAATGTGTAACCTTGCAACATAGTTGTGATTATTCTGTCTAATAGCCCCAGTTAATCATACCTGCATGGCGAGGTTGTAAAATCGTTGTTTTGCAATTTGCTCGATAGAAACGTACCGAAGTTGACCAAATCGGCCCAGTTTACTTACACATAGGTGCCTATATGTATGTAGCTATTAAATTAGTGATTTCCACGTAAACCACCTGCTGATTCACACGACGCCTAATGTCAGATTATCCAGGTGCAGTTCTTGAAAACACATTAGTCAATGTGAACTACACACGAATGTTTACTGGATTTGCTGACATTCGCACAGTTTCTACTCGGAATTGACAGTATGAAACTCAGATGAATGGTAGGTAGCAATAACGCGCGGTGGCAGTTTAGGTACTACGACACACAAAATGCATGTTCGTCTGATGCGAAAGTAGTGGAGATACATGTTTTTAACTGCGTGCAATTTGTCTGCATCAGCGGGTGCCCGTAATGGAATCGATCTCGTTCCTGCCTCACTCATGTCTGGTGAAAGCCGGGGAGAAGAGTATTTGCCAATAGTGAGTGAGGTGGGAGCTGTGTTGTAGCATTTACGCACGCAAACTTATGATGCATCTCTTGGCAGTTCAGATATCTCGCCTTAAACTACCGTTCATAACCAATACCTACCGGTTGTTTCACAGCTTTAGGGAAATGCACCCCCAGCTCGAATATTCGCTGCACACCAGATTATTTTGCTCAATGACTTTTCTTCGTTTTGCATACGACCGCTTGTAGCTGCATATTCCCTCTGCATCAGCTCAAATTTTGGTTTTATCTGGATTTGCATACAAAAACCGCAAGCAAGCAACCAGCCAGAATGTTGCGCGCTGAAGATACCTTCTTGACTGGAGATAAAATTGCAATCTAATTTGTCCAGCTAGGCACAGCACGGCATCAGTTGAAAGTAATTATGTATCAAGGACACCTTCATTTGCAATTTGATAGGGGGCATCACTTCAAACTCGGCAAAGGTCTGCGAAATTCGATCTGGTCCAAGCCATGCAAGGCGTTGTCCGATATTTTTTGCGCATTGCCATAAGGCTGGAGCGATTTCTCGAAAATAGATCAAAATGAATTATCACAAGACGGCTAAGAATCAACTATAATATCCATCTACAGTACTCTGTTTATGTTATCTGGGGCTTTCATTAGCTAGAAGCCTTTGGGCTGCCTTGTGTATGAAGGATATGGCGTTATCCACTTGTGCGTCTCTTCAGTAAGCCAGTAACCGGGGGCCGAAAATTGACTTCATTTATACCACCGATACAATTTGACTTTTACTCTGATGTACCCGACAGCGTAACAAAACATGCGAATTCCGAATTTACGTATCGATGGATTCATATGGGCAACTATATTACCCATCAATCTTTGCCCGCTTCTAGGAGGCTCGAATAGAAATATATAACAATTTCTTTACAGAAACTCCCTGTATTTCTGTGTACGCTAGTCTATTTTGCGATAGAGTAGTTGTCATATTATCTTATGTTTCGCCAATAACAAAAATGTATAAACAGTATTTTCTAGCCATCGTAATTCATGCCGTTTCACCAGAACATTGCCGTTATCTAACCCTCTCACAAAAAATGTAGCCTCATTTGCGATACTTCCGTTGACTTGTAAGTCGCAGTTCATCACCTATGGACATTTTATCATATTTCGGTTCACACGGCGCCCAGAAGTAATAGACAGATAAGGCGAACAAATTGAACCCATAAATAAATAGTTCGGTGACCTAATTCATCAAACGACAGTAAAGTAAATTACGTTTCATGTTTTGAGCAGCTTGATCGTCAAACTCCCACCAAAATGACAGTGTGATATTCATCGGAATCTTGAATCCGTTATACTTACAACAAATTCATATGCTGGGCTGCTTCATTTGGGATACCGTCATAATTGCTCTGGACAGTAAGTCGCGATGCAACTCGCCGGGATTTGATGCAAATAATTAGGGATGCATGACTAACGAGGAAAGCCTTGCGTTCCTTGACCATTCAGCAGAGCACACCTGATAGGCTGACGTGTGCTGGCCGTTTGTTCCTCGGTGATTCGTTAAGACAAGATGCACGACAGTCGAGTGCATAAAATCATTTGACACGCCTGTTTCCGCCACCTCGATAACTGGTTTAGGGCATGTCACTCATGTTGCTGCGGAAACCAGGTACCCAGACTTTGTTGCAATGCTTTGCTTAGAAGGATTTCAAAGTAGAGCGGTTTACGGCATAGTAACCTCTCTGCTAACGAACACTATCCCTGTCACTTAAACGAAGGATGTGCACGGAGAGAGTTTGCGCACAAGGAAACAATAGTGATTGGCATTCCTGTATCCGCCGAGGTATTTTCTCCCTACTGTAATTTTGATTGAGGCAAAGGCACCCTGGAAGGTCATAATCAGACACAGTGACAGGCAGAGTTGCGTGTGGGAAATTTATCAACCGTCTGTAATCCCTTGTTACAATGTCGGATTAGTTCACCTTTAAACGATGGACACTGCTACATTTGATGTATTTATGGTCTTGTTTGTGCAAAAGACTTGGGAAAACCTTTGAGAGTCACAATATCATTGACCTCACACCAACAGATTGTCTTTGTGTAGTTGGTCAAATAAGGACACGGATAATTAGGATACAAAATTCACGCGGAAATCAAGGGTGAATTCCCAGTTTGGGATGAATAAGATGTATCTAATCCAAATGACCCCATTATATATATATATATATATATATATATATAATGGACCCAAGCAAACTGGTACCACGAGCCAAGTGTACAACATGCCGTTTGATAAATTCCAGTGTGCTTCCTCCCAAAAGAGAGAAACTCCATCTACTATCATCAGCGGGCTCAACATCTTTAAAGAACCGAAGCCACATAAATTGTTTGCTCATAAGTTATGAAACTGAATTTTCACGCAGATCTGCAAGTCACACCAGCGAAAGGCTGGGTGGAATGTTTCGCAACCAACTAATAATGAACAAAAGTTTCCTCATACGGCTGAATGAAAATATGGGATAAACGATGTACCGACATATATTTTAGATTCATGAACAGACAAATATATTAAGCCTACATATATATAATGAGAATAATACTCTGTTTTACACAATATAACATTTTCGATATGCACAACCAGATTATTAATATTCTTTCAAAATTCCTCTAACTGCATCATAGTAATCGGAGTTAAACATTCACCACAGAAAAGGGAAACTACAAATCTGTTCACGCTTTATCCTTCTAACGTATGTTCATTTACGAAAAAAATATTCCTTATATGAGCAGAAATGTAGAAACAGGCGTTATTTAGAATGAACTGTTGAGCATTTTCCAACGTGTGTTAACAGTTTAACGTGATAGCTATGGTTAGATTTTATCTGAAATACCAGCAGGACGACAAGTGCAAGAAAAAAGGACAATTAGCAACCTCAACTAAAGCTGCCGGCTAAAAACTTGTCCCATCTGCAGGTGCGGTTTGCTAATTATTAAGCTTTACAGAAATAAACTCAATCCTATTTTTACATTCACCCTACATAGCCAGGAAATTTAGTTTGTTTGTCCTCACACCACTGACCAAGCTGAGTGTAGAAGCTGTCAAGGTGCGCGAGGAAAGCATCCAGTACAGTTTAATGGTTTAAGGAGTTCCGCAAAACCGCCGCTCAAGCTTAAGGTACAGTATTAGTTCAAAGAAATGTTGCAGCAATTTATAAAGTTCCTCTTATTAAAGCGGGAAAACGGGTACATGAGTTTTACTGAACCCGTTGCTACACCAGCCATTCATAAGTTCTATCTCGGTCAGTGAAATTTAAACACAAAGGCATCCTGAAATAACGGAGCATACCCAAACAGACATATGCAAATTTATCCGTCAGCTTGTAATTAACACCGCAGTATCTGTAGAAGTCTTTAGGTTATTAACATCAAACTGTTTTCATTAATAGTTTCGCAAAATAGTTTACAGCAGGCACTTGAATGCAATCTTTGTTCAGTAGCTATTAGGATAAATAGAAGTTTAAAACGAATTTCATAGTTTTAAACGAAGCTAAAAATAAATATGAAAATTTGGTAAGAACCATTTATCAATAACCAAAAGTAAATAATTATTTAATAAACGTTCACATATTTCAAAAATATGTATATCAGAATGTCGTTGGATGATATCGATTTATATTGCATTCCGTTCGACCAAGCCCATGAAAATAATAAAGAAAATAAAATAAGTAAATGGGATATAAATTAGTGGTTATCTGCTTGCTGCGTTACTCGCTTTCCTGACAAGATTTATATCAATTTCAACCTTTATTAAACACACCCTAATACCCCACAACACATCAAACACACCATCTACATCCACTTCCAACCTCCTCCTCATTCATCCACACTTACCAAACCATCAACCAACAAAATAAACCCCCCCCTTCTTAATACCTCCCCCCCCCCCCCACTCTTTATTTTACACCATATTAAGGCTTTGAGTGCTGATTTCTATACATATCTTTATTTTATTATTTAAGTATTAAGTTTCTAATTTTTTTGAATCAATTTAGTTATTTTATATGTTTAGTATTTATTTGTGTTTCCATATTTATTAAATATTAAATATTTTATTTTATTATTTATATATTATATACTATTCCAATTTTTCAATTTTATATTGTCACCTTCTTTTTTCTCGGATCTGTTTGTTTATATATTTCTTTTCCCCCCCCACCCTTTCACAGTTTTTCGTTCGGATGTGGTGTTCTCTCATTTGGTGTGTGGGGGATTGATTCCCCCCCCCCCCCCCCCCCACCCCCCCCCCCCCCCCCCCCCCCCCCCCCCCCCCCCCTTTTTTAACTAGGTCCATGTGAGAAGTGGTGAAACCCCTATGATCCCTCCTTGGGGTGCCGGGCAAGAGGTGGGGTTGTTGTCGTGTAGCCCCCCCCCCCCCCCCCCCCCCCCCCTCCTGAAGGGTCGTGTGGTGTTGTTAAAAGGGAAGAGGGGGTGGGGTGGGGGGGGTTGTTTGGAGCTGTGGTGATCTGTGGTGTGGGATACGATTGCGTGGCAAGGTCATATTGGGGTGTGGTTGGTTCCGCTCAACAGACTAAAGCAAGCACATTGAAAATGGAAGTACCTTCGTCACTTTTGCTTTCTATTCAATATCACACAAAATTTACATGGTCAAAAGCTCAATGTATTCTAGATAACTTACGATCCTAATAATTACTCTTTAGACTTGTATACTTATATGCAAAAGACAACCCAAAGATATGCAGAGCACACGGACAGGATAAGCATTTAGTTTACAGTCACTGTTATTCGCTGCCCCCTAGGAAACATTTGTGACACGTGCACAATTGCTTTGCTTTGACGGAGCAGTTCGTCTAGGCAAGTCATCACAGCGTGTTGGTGAATATGTTCTGGACGCATAATTCCCGTTCTTATAGTCCGCTTGATAAACTCTATGCCGATTCAAGTAAGCGCATTTGCACGCACTGCGATCGGTTTGCATGTGGTCGATAAAATGGATTAATTGCCTCGGCTAGATTGGGGGAACGGTGTGTCTTTGCAATATGCGTGCAAATAGATGAGTTGCTTATCTTTCGGTTCCCATTCGCAAGCGAGGCCGCATGGCGTTCTCTGACCCTGTCATACTGCAGCTTCTTCGTGCAGCCAATATATCCTGAACCACAGGAAAATGGAGTGAATAAACACATATGGAATCGAGGTGGACAGGCCTTTTGCCTTTTGGGTTAGTTTTACAACCGGGCTACCAGTAAAGTGAATCTGCATTTGGCTGCTGGGTTGATGTGCCTCAGCGCGCGAGAAATGTTACGAGTAAGAAGTTCAGCTACAATTTCCCTTTTGTACGGCAATTGAAGAAAAACGGTTTTCTCTCCGGCGCCGAGGGTTACATGAATTCCCATAGTTGGTTCCATGTTGAATTTAATGGATCCATCCCTCATATTTGTTGCGCGGGCGACTCCTGTGCATCTACTGAGTTGGTGAATGCCTGTGTGCTTGGCTATTGTGTTCCATCTAAGTTAAAAATAACGAACACGCCATGGGTTTTGGAGATCGCAATTCACTGAGCAGCAGCTTGCACTGGTTGCCTCATGCGTGCAAGCATCTAGGGCATCCGCAATTCCTGCTCGTGAAGGATTTCCATCTTATTTGCTTTCCGTGGCCTGGGGTTGAGATTTTCCTCGGGAACTGCGAAGTAGAGAAGAAGGTTGTGATTATTTTTGCAACTGGGGACACAAACACATCAATCAGCCGAGGCAAATCTGTAAGTCCTCGACTTTCTTTTGCCTGGACCAGTTGCTGACCAGCTGCGATCTACATGTGCATGATGAATAGGTCCTGGAGCAACTGGCAGCTTTTGACTACTCGATGGACATGGCGACCTTATAGCTGCCAACGCCGTTTGTTTATTCGCGAAATTTAATATACTCACTCTAGCCGCAATATTTTGGACTGATTGATAACTAGGATTTATCAGTTGAAGCCTGTTGGTCTAACATAAAAGAAGTAAAATCACAGTGCGCCAGATTTATGCCCCTAAAAATTCGGACAGTTGAACCAGTCAAGCCATATTGGTTTGACAATGTGTATGACAAACTGGCTGATTGCCAACGCCATTTATGGAGTAATATTATGAAATCTGGCTCTCCCGAAGTTCACGAGGCGTACAAAAGACAACGAAATGCCTGCAATTACACGAACACGAGCCAAGACATAAACTTCAATTGGCAATCTACATCCGCGGCAAAACAACACCTGGGTGGATCTTGTACTATATAAAGTGACGCCTAATGCCGTCAGATGATATGCCTGTGTTGAATGGCTCGGACAGACAGCCTATAGTTTCAAGCACTGAGCATGCTTCCGCATTGGTCACGCAATTCGCTTTCCTTTTTTCAGACAATCAGGCTTTCATTATTAGTCTGACTCCAATCCACCGTACCAAACTGGACAGCATGGATTGCAGTGTAGAGAAGGTGCGTTAATTTATTGCCCGTCTTGATGGTACCAAGCCGATGTGAGTGATTGTCTCCATCCGCATATCATCACATCTTTAGCGTTAACCATATCGCCTGCGGTAACTTATCTATACAACAGTTTAATGTCCACCCCTTCATTGACAAGTGACCGGAAATTCTTAGCGTTAAAACTGATTCCGAAATGCAGCAATCCGAGCAAGTGGACAAATACTGGCCGATATGCCTGGCCTATATTTTAGTTGAAGCACTCGTAAATGTAGTGAAGCGTGGTCTTCTGCAGCATCCTGCGATAAAAACCATATTGACTCTTGCGGATAACGGTTTCATAAAAGGTCTGTCATGTATCACAAACCTACTATTCTCGAGGTACCTATGGTTGCCAGCGTTTAATCATGGGAAATCTGTAGATATCAATCACATAGATTACGTAATGCCGTTGAGATAGTGAACCATGTGATCCTATTATGGAAGCTGAAGATGTGTGTTCATGTTGACTCATTGCACCATTGTATCCGGGAATTCTATATTTGTCGGACGTCAAGCGTGCATGTGTACCGTCAGTTCATCAGGTGGTATCCACCGACTAGCTGTGTCCCGCAGAGCGAAGTTTTTTGGAATTATTTGATTTGTGATCCTTTCATTGATTTGGCTGATTTTCTCAGTTCACGCTTCAGGTTTTTTGAAGATGAGGTTAAAATATGCAGAGATTAGAGCGCCTGACGAGTGGGACCTTCTTAACGGTAAACATGATCGCCCTTCTATGTGGTCAGAAAAGGGCGAACTTTCAATCAACCCCGTCAAGGCAGAGTTCATAAACCTGGGCAAGTGTAGTAATGGCTGAGCCTACAATCTGACCGGCCAAAGGTTTCACCCACCGCCATCCATGAAAATACTCGGCGTACCCATTGGCTGTGATCTGGAATAATTTGAAACACCAACATACATTACCAAAACGGATAAAGCATGTTCTTGTCGCTCACACGCAGCATCTGTACTCGATCCGAAAAGGTTGCCACGCACCTCTTCTCTTCCAACATCAGACACCTGCTAGAGTACAAACTCCCCTACTCTCTGCTCACTCGCGGCGAAGTGCTAAATTTTGATTGAGATCAGCTTGTTGCCTTAAGTCTCCTCCCCAGTTTACGAGGTGTGCCATCTGAAGACAGGTACAGGATACTAGAATGACCATTTCCAGGTTGACCACATCATGAGGCACGGGATATCACATCTGGATGATTACCCCATGTAGGGGGGGCGCGGCTGTAACTGCGCACAGAAAACAGCACACGCGGACAAAGACACAAACTTCTCATGCCGGATATGAAGCGGGTCGCTCACCAAATCTACTTCGAGCGTAGGGAGGTGAGCACTTGAAACAAACTGCCTGAAGATGTAGTTGAAGAAAACTCGCCGTCGGAGATTAGTTTATTCCGTGGCACAAATATGCGGACTTGAGAGTTCGCGTATAATAATCAAAGTATTAGTTACATTAAGTACATACGGCTACCTATATACATATCTATTCGCTGCATAGTTTTAGTATTCCGTAGTCAGTGTGCACCTAAAGCTATTAATCACTTTTCCTTAGTTGGTTTTCATCCCGCGGAACTGTAGAAGATTATATGTGAAATATTGCAAATAATTCGTTTGATTGCGACGTTCAGAGACCAAAACCTTTTACTTATATTACTTAATCCTGGAAATAAGTGCTCAATTTATCTAGCTGCGTCATTTAAATGATTGATCCAGCTAACTTAATCCGTTTTTTCTATCTAACAATGAATTTAAGGTTGTTGATAAATAAACGCCTGGATAATTTAATCGTTTATTCGCAGTAATCTAACATAAATAATCATCGTTGGTTTAAATGGCTAGACACTTATGCCAACGAAAACATGGAAACACGTATTTAAGCAATTTTTCAATTTGGCAAGGAAACCTGTAACCATTTGGTTTGTTCCGATCGAGTATTTATATCATTTTACAAAAATGGTAAGCCAATACATAAGATAGACTGCATGCTTGAAAAAGTATTGGATAGAAACTCCAGTTAAAAAAATTCGCGGAATTGTATTTATGATATTTTTCTTTATTTCGCGAATGAAATGGCACATAACTGTGAAAAAGGTCTTAGGAATTTCCCTACACTTTAAAATCTTAACACCACCATATCATGGCTAGTTATCTCCTATTTACCAGTGTACAAATAACACCAGCAAGCTTACAGTTCTTCGCAGTGTTGTTTTCTTGACTTAATAATGCACCTGCTGCAACCATTTTGTTCACAAATCAGTTTCAAATCAGTTTCTCTCCCCATAGATAGAATATCCCCGCTTAGCTATTTATTTGGGGGCATTTCTAAGTTAAAATTCAGTAACTAATATATGAGTGATACTTTTGCGTTTAACTCGGGCGTATTAAAGCATTGTGTATTTTAAGTTCGCGCGATGGCATATCAGTTACCAAAATGGAAACATGATTGATGAGTAATGTCATAGTATCGCAAAGACTATCAGAGTAAGATGAACTCTCTCTAGGCTAATTGCGTATCTGAGCGACTGATCTTGGAGACCCTCAACTTACATTCTGACCATCAATGTGTGAGATGTAGACCAAAGACTTGCCGTGCGTTCAGCAAATACACTGTATCCATAACGTTGATGTAATAAATATGTCTCACAGTTAACGGTAATTTTTCTGTTACACGCAATTAACTGCCCTGCGTGACATGTTAACTGGCAGCGCTCAATCCATTCAAGACTGTGGCAGTGATAACAGGTATGACGTCTTACTTATGTGAATTAATAGCAGAAAATTGCCAATTAAAATAGTTAGAACCGGCATTCAAAATTTGTAAGTTCCGGTTATCACATATAATAAAAGGAAGTAGCGCATGTTTGAATATCGCTTAGTGACAAATACAGCTGGTTACAAAGTTTAGTGTCGAATAAGGAAAACCAAATTTCTTTTCGCTATTATCATCTTTATAAAATGCTTAGAGATATTATATGACTCTAAATTATTTTCTTTGCAAAGTGGGTTAAATAATACTTCTGAGTAACGATCGGCTTTCACGTTACAAACAAAGCAACATCTTTTGACTATTTTTTATTCCAAATTTATTATCTTGGATGCTCTTTTATATATTTTAGCCCACCCAAGGCATAAAACTTACTGTATTTTATTAACCCTTTCTCTACGGTGTTACTTTCATGTCATTAATTCAAATATTTATTTCTTATGAATTCGGAAGACATTATAGCAATTATTGTGCATCCGAAAGAAAGCCGGGGACACGTTTTTCCACCGGTTTTTCAATTATTCTTGGGTAGAAATTTCACAGGAGTTTATGTGTAACATTTTACTTTATTTTCAACATGGCGCCGAAATTAGATGGAGGAACTTATCCACTTATTGCTCCAAACTTCATTGTGTGTTCAAAGTTTTTTCTGCGTTACGGAGACTAGGTGAAAAGCGCCAAGGTTGAAATATGCGGACACTTGAATGCGCAATTGGACGAAGTTATAGCCGACTTGGCTGTCTCCAGCATTACGGAAAAAATGGGAACACAGTTTGGACATATTATGTGCACAAGAGCGGGTGCGAAAAGTGAAACTTGATGGTTTCAATTGCTTTTACGGTAGGGGGTAATTGAGTGGTTGGTGTGGAAAGACAATTTACTTACAAAACATAAAAAACGTTGTTATTGCGTTGTATAAATATATAGCAACTGCTGACGCACTGTACTTATTATCTTGTGCAATTGTGCATAGCATTCTTCCCAACGACACATAATCGCGCAAACGTGTTAATTTCCCTAGGTCAGCTAGTGCAATTCTCCCCTTTTTCATGCCGCAAGCTTCCACGCTAGGCCCCCTTAATTATATATGTAACCGCAGTGCATAAGTGCTTGTCTTGTTTTTGGATAATATTCAAGCATACTTGTGCATAGGGAAGACTAATTGCCATCATTCTGTTGCGACCTCTGTGTATAATGCCTCAGTCTGGTATTAGTGAAGCACGTATATAAAATACACAACTGCAAAGCAGGAAATAACGGGATTTATCTGGGGGTGTTATTTGGGAGGATAAGCTGAGGTATATATTTTTTTACTTTCCATGCAGACATGGCACAAGCAGCGAACAAAATCGCGGGACTTTTGATTGCCTCTTATTAGTGAACTGGAAGGTAATAAAATTAAAGGGATCTCACGGTAAAATAATGCATCCATTTTATCAAATTTATGTTTGTAATTTTCGCCTTTTATGTGGGAAACCCGTATTGTCAACAAGTCTCAATATACTTAAAGCTTGATCGCGTCACTAATCGAATACGTTCAATCTTTGTTTCCGAAAAGTTGGTGGCAATGAAGTTGGTCAGTTCTCTGGAGCTAACTATCACCATAACGCAGGTAACGCGAAGTGTACAAACATTACCTGCCAAAAAGCACACTAATAACAAAATAAGATTTAGGTGCCTTATTTCATTGAGTGAAAGCAGATATAATTAATTTCACACAAACAGTGTAGAGGAACATTTGGTTTGTATAACAAGTGTAAACAAGGGTGCGGCGTTCATACCCGGTGGTGTCTGGATTATAATCTTCGTAAGTGGACCTAATTAGAGCCACAGATCCATCGTGTCCCAAAATGGAAGCCATGTGGATTCTGTAACTAGCATTATATATGTACGTGAACGTCACACAGTGAGGGTGGATTCCATTCCTTTGGAAACATGTAATACTGAATGGCCTATTCACATGTATACAAAGAACCGTTCCAAAATCTTTTGATTTACGGGCATGAGAAACATACGGTAATATGAACTTTTTCACGAAAATTGCGTAAAAATAACACTGCCAGTAGAGGGTGACACACCGTAGTGTAGGTGGTGCACTTCAAGTGGAGCGGGGATGAAAACATGCAAAAGAACTTTCCATTACCGGGATACGCGAGTGAGGAGAAGGTTCCGACAGCATTCGGAACGGCTATGCTCTGGGACCAGCGTCAGCTGGTGTCTTATTATGAATGGCTTTGTCTGGGAGAAAAACAATGTCAGTCAGAATCATTTCGGAGGTGATACACAAAAATAAACTCAATCCGAAGACAGCGTTATTTATCAATTAAACTCATGGAGTCTTTATGCTAAATTGGTAAATGATGTGCAGATCCGTATGAATGTTTACTCCATTTCTACAGTGAATTCCTAATTGATGCATGGTCACGGTTTTGCCAGGGTTACCTTATCTGGTTTTCGTGGTATATATTTGTTCTCATGTAAGCCATGGACCAATGTGAAAGTACTTAGTATCCAGCCAGCGAAAAGCGCACTACAAAAGGCCTAGTGCTTGAAGCGTTTCATGTTTTCTCGGAGGATCCAAGCTGATTCTCCAACAGCAACCCAATATCACTATCATAAGACGCGCGCGCTTAAGCAAGTTTTATCATTGTATAAGCTAAGATGTACACATGCATAAAGCTCGTTGGCCTAAAGCTGACATGAATAAAACAAGATGTGCCCATCTAACCCCATAGGTCCGGTTGCGATCATATGTATGTGTTGTGTAATCGTCTGCAATCTGAATTCTAACTAACACCTCAATTTATCAAGTGTGTACGTTTGTGGTCAACATTCCCGTTGGGTCGCTTATCAAAATTAAGAAGAGTAGTGATGCTAGTACGGAGTCTTGCGGAACACAGCGATGCACCTGAGTTAGATTTATTGCTGCTTATTCGTCCATTAAGCTGATGTGTGAAACCTACTGATAAAAATCAAGACATATAATGGCTGCTAATGATGTGAAGAAGCACGCAGTAAGCTAGACGAGTACATTCTTTCAATAAAAAGGTAGACAGCATCGAGCGTTTCCAATAAACCAACGTATTCCGCCCAGCTAGTATGGGCAAAAGCGCTTGCTGTATATCAGCAGCTTAGCGGAAACAATGTTGCTTCTGCTGTGGAATGGTATAACGTTTTACTTGCATCAATTAGATACATGTTACAAATTCAAATTTCATGTCTTCAATATGTCTCGTTTGCGAAGTAATCGGGCTGTAATTTGCGGCATCATTATGATTGTCCCCTTTTAAACAGGAGTGTCTATTCCGCGCTTCTTTGCAGCATGAGCGCGCGGATCATCAAAACATCACCGCAAGGCCCAAGACAATGGTTCACTTAAGCTCGCGTTGACTTCCTTAAATTACTTTGATGGAGGTTGTCTGAATCATTCATGGTTTACTGGCGTAGTGACACTAGTTGTTTCAGGATATCCATGGAATTTAATGGAGTATCGTCAAGCCCTACTGTTGACGTGCTCCGTGTGAAGTGGGTGTGAGAAACATTTGGACTCCGTAAAATACCAGTGCAATAACCTCAGAGGATATTGGCTGATTCTGGGGCAATTCGAGCTTGCTCAGATACGAGGTTTCAATATAGATATTAAGCCTCAATAGGTAGATTTGGTTTAAACGCCTGTAATGTAGCTCAGGATTGCAGCAGAATTTTTTCTTTGAATACTGTGGTTAGTAATGTTTGTCCCTGTGGATCATTCCGGTGCTTATCCAGCTTAGTTATGCAGGCATTCTGGCTTTTACTCTTTAGAACAATTGTGTATGCTTTCCAAAGTTATGCTGGTAAGCTCGGTTGTATATGAAGAACCTATTATTTCATGCAATGAGAATAAATGCCTTTGATGATTTATTCAGTAACGTGCTGATTTGATTAAGGAATAACACCCAAGAAATATCGGAGAATGCGTCGTTGTGATAAAAACTATTGTATAGAATATATTGATTTGATAGCATACGGACCTCTTTTATGTCCCTGATGAACCCTTATGTGCAACAGATCTAGAAGAAAAGCAGTGTCGCATGGTCGCATTGCTCCAAGTGGCATATGTAATCTTAAGCTGTCAATCGCAATTTTCTTAGTTCCTTATATTTGAAAAAGCCATGTATAAATTGATCAGATTGTTTCATTTCTGAAGTTCTTACTGGAGTTTAATTTATTAGCAATTCGTAGAACATTATACTGTTCATGTAGTTCAACTAAAACTTCTCGCCACCGGAGACCGGAAAATAAATATTGCAGGTTGTAGTCAACCACATGGAGAAATTGACTGTTAGGTTGAGTTCGAACGATTTTTCAAGCAGACGAAATGCCCCCTCTTATAGTTTGTGTGGACGGCACAGAACGGTATGAGGTCATTTAAACATGCAGCAGCATATCTTATTTGCAGGATGCACCAATGTGAATTCACAACAAAAATCTATGGGTCTTTAACGGTTTAGAAATCTGATTATGCGCGCCGTAGGAAAGCACTCCGCCTTCTCTACTCCCCAAATATATATATATATCTATGATATAACTCATTAAAAGAATAAGTGCTATTTCTTCCTCTTTAGCTCTGATATTTTGCACCTATTGTATGCGTGTTTATAACCACATATTCGTTCACATTTATGATATTCATAAAACAGCTATCACCTACTGTTAGGTTTGTAAGAATGTTTAAATATGCTACTAGGTGTACGTCACGCTGCACGAGCGCTTTTAGGTTTTGTTGATCAAATGCTTACAACCCTCCATTTGTCATTGTTATCAATGAGGATACATTGGTCGCAAGTACAAACAAATTTGAATACATGAAGCATTTAGAAAACGCACTGAGATTTGACCGGGTTGGGATTTGCTACTATTACTAATACATTTGTCTTTGTTTCAATTTCCTAAATGTTGATGAACATACCTGAGATTTAGCCAGTTGCAGTGAAACTTAATGTCTTAAGCAAATTGTATACATCATCTGGGAAAAATTTGAAAGTTTGCTTGCCTATACTAAAAACGGAACCCGTCAGTTCCTTTCAAAATCTCTCTCGGACTTCTAGCTTTTTAGGTTGGTGATCGGCGGCTCATCCTTTTCTACTGACGCCACTACAAGTGCTTTCATACTGGTTAGAGCTCCCAAGCAAAAACAAGCCGCTTATCTGCCTGCTGAACACTACTCTGCCCGCATTTAACGTAGATGTAACAAATAGCTATATCTGAGAAATTTTGCAGGACGTTTTCATCAAGTCTAGCATTCAATAAAATCCTTTTTATACAGGCTCACTCCAGACGATGCATACTAGAGTATGCTTGGTTGAGAGTTGTCAACTATATGAAATATTTGCAAATAAACATATCACTTGAATATAACATCATTGCTGATTCTGCAGTACTAAACCATTGCATTCAAACTAAATTCCAAGGAAGACAAGTACTGACCCCTGAATTGCATCAAATAGACTGGAGCCAGTTTTATAATGGTAGATTAACTGATAGAAATGACTCCAGTACATTCATCTAAAAATCAAAAACACGGTATATTGGTTTGCGAAACGGGCATAGTTCGCAATTGTATATATATTTTTGTCGTGAGAGTTTTAACCTTATAATTACAATGGTATAGCGCTGTTTTAATTTACATTATCGGTGTAAAATTTTAACACATGCCGACCCTGTTTGCTATAAAATGTTTTATATGTATGTTGTTTTCATTATATTAACATGATGTCTGCCATATTCAGAACAAACCACAACACCAAACCACAACACCAAATCATTTGTTAGCTTTTCACTTCCTGTACTCGGATTTTTTACCATGGTGTTGTTAACAGGGGACAAATATACAGGAATAGACAATTTCTAATACTCCATTCTTCAGGTATATGACATGTTAGGCATTTGTTGGTCGGAGAAGCAGATTTTGCATATTGTGCAGCAACGAGAGGATGTGAATGTTAATTACAGGTAATTACTGAGGTGGGAATGAATAATTGCCAACCATTCTTAGACATACTTATCAGTCGCAGGAATAAAGGACTCAGTACATGGTATGTTAAAGAAATAACAACATGATCCAGATAATAACTTTATTTAACCATTTACACACCAGCGCGGTATAAAGAGTTAACTCTGAGGAACTTAGGTA